TCAGATATCGAAACAGTTGAAAGCATGTTATGGATAAAACAGGGTGCACGCACTGTTTCAGCAAAAAGACGTTACTGCCGTATTGTCTTAGTTACAGGAGCACCACAAAGCAACATTCTAATAACTTCCACTGTGTTGTGGTGATGATAAAAAAATCTTAGAGATGGACACTTGATCTAAACTGTCTGTTGGCCACATGCCACGACAGCTAAGTGAGAAAGTATGTGGGTTATGTTTCTTTGTTTGTGATCGCGTTTGTAATTTGGTTGAACCAGTCATTTACTCTAACTGTGTCAGGTGTCTGCGATTGTTAAACAGGCATATATTTAGTTCCTGAAGAAACCTGGCCTCAATCCAGCAGTCTGGTTTAACTGCAATGTCCCACATTACTCTTTGTTCAGTGAATGATTTAAACGTTGGTTGCCAGACAGCTGCAAGGAAGCAGCGTCGTAGGAGGAATAGTTTGGAAACCAAATTTGTGAACTGAAGCTGCGCTCCTGAAAGTTTTAACAATGCAGTTACCATCTAAAGTTTTTACATTTACATCAATTTGCATTCACTGTATGTTTATTAATGAACTTACTCAGTATGTCTACAGTGATTGTGAATTGTTTAAGCAAACTAATTTTCATAAATACACCGATATAGATATATAGATAGATTTGTAGCACTGCAGAGATGTGCACATCATCACATTGGTCATCGAGGTTTGCTCTGACCTGTTTGTAAGATGATTGAATCTTTATGAACTCACCCTCAAAATATATTACTTATAAAAGTTAAATGAAGAGCTCATTTGCAAAAACAGATACCTCCATCTTCACAAACCTTCAGAAAACCCACTTTTACATCGTCTGAGACAATATCAATCAAACTTAAGTTATCTCTAATTCTGTCATTTCTACTGAGTCAAAGTCACTCAACTTCAGATTGATTGATATTATCTCAAGCAACAAAAAATAAGTTCTGAAAATCTACAAAAATGGAGTTATGTTTTTGCAAATGAAGTCTTCAATTATTTCTGTATATTTCCACAACACTTGAACAGGTGAATCACCTGCAGAATTTAACTGATATGAGGAGTCTTTTATGCCTAAGGAGTCCTCTGGCCGC